GAAGCGCTTCGAGTGGTGTATTGACCCCAATCCTACTACGTCGTCGACGCCGCAACGCTGACGGACCTTGCGACCGCCGTCGGGCCCACGCAGCTCGAGCGTCTCAGTTGCAGCGTCTTTGGCCAGTTGGCGACATGCCCGGCGGCGGCGCCGATGCTATCGCAACTGCAGTCGCTCATCGTCTTCGGGTTGAACGCCGACGACATGGAGGCATTGATCGACGGCTTGTCGTCGGTCCCGGCGCTGACACCTCTTGAGCTTCGCGATTGCAACCTCTCTTCGTCGACGGAGCTCATGGAGACACTTGCGACGACGTGCGTGCATCTCAAGACGCTCCGTGTCGATGATCGTGACTCGCGATGGGTCGGTGGCCGTAATTTCTGGCGTCTTGCAATGGCCACACTTGACGATTCTGAGCCTCTGGATGCGTCTGCTGAATGTGTTGCGCGTGCTTCCAGAGCTCGTAGCTGCGGGCCGCCACCTCCACTACCTCGATCTGGCGACCATCGGGCGCGACAGCGATGATCTGGAGAAGCGAGCGATCTGCAAGGCGCTGGCACAAGTCCCCGACGTCCCATTTGTGCTCCAGACGTTGCCAGAAGATATGGACAAGTTCGTGGTCGACGCGCTCAGCCCACGCACCGATCGTCGCCACGAGTGCGACTTGTATTTCTAATCGCTTCAAATAGCCACATTCATGTGTTTTCTCGTTTGGTTCAAGGTAGCGATTGTGATAAAGCAATTCTGTGTCCCGATACCCATGGGAAAATTGAGAAGGGGACAACTGCGACGGGTCTTGCTTGAGCCACGTACTGCCGGTGGAAGCTACTTGATGCGCATGTTCCATACGCCGTTTAGAGGTGCTCATACTGTACGACAACATCCTTCCATTGCCGCTTATAGAAAATCAGAAAGTGGAGCTCTCTCCGGGACTCGAACCTGGTGGTTGGCCAGTGTCTAAACCTCGACTAAAAGAAGGCGACGCGAACACAGCCTTCGTGACGTAGTATTCCGACAACAACAGTCTGTCTTTGGTGTAGCTGTGCACACTTTCATAATGCTATCCCACCTCCAAACCATTCGACTATGTAATTTAGGGCTATCGCAGAGCGGTATCGACCATTCCCAACCCTCGCAACGCCTTGTCAGGCTGCCACGTACCCAAAATAAAAGGAATCAATGTTTCATTTTTTGAAATGCAAGCAACAACCGTTGCCTCAATCATCGTGCCAGCCTGTAGTACGTCCCACACAAAGTCGCCGACATCGTTTTCTGGCAGCGCCTTTAGGACAAACGGGACGTCGTTGGCCCTGGCGCCGTGTGGGACAATTCGTGCTACATGTGTGTGTACACCTGCAGTTTGTGCATGGCACGACTTTGCTCGCCCAGAGTCGGGCTCACCAAAAGACATATCGCCCACCGCTTTGGCGCGGGTGGTGGCGTCGCATCCGCATCGAGTGTTCGGTCGACAGCGCAGCACCATTGGTTTCACTCGTGCCCCTCTTTGGCCCCACACTGAGCACCATCCTGATCGAGTTTGGCTGTCATAGTCGACGGCCAATGGAGTTGGTTCCGCGGTATATCTTCTCTTGCAGCACTGCATACGTCTGCGCCAACGGAGCATCTACGGCGTGGGCCAGGAGGAGGCCACCAGGTCGCTCAACGATCTGCTTGCAGCAGCTGTCACCCATCCGCACGTCAATCAGCAGAGACAGTGTCGTCAACTGCGGCAATTGCAGCAAGCCAACGAGAACGTATGTGGCCTGAACGCATCTCACACGCTTCTTGATGATCGACCAGCCGTGAGTCGACGACGTCCCGTTTGGTGAGGAGCGTTTAAAAAACAAAGTCGATGACATGAGGTCGGACGCACTGGGTTCGCATATGACCAAGCAAAGCGGATGTTGTCGCATGCATTCTAAACTTGAAACATCGATACTTTTTCCATTGTCGAGTACGTGGCACGACGGCATCGTGTCGTTCTCAAAAAAGGTTGATGTCTCTGCAGCAGCCGTGCATCGTCACGTTGCAACACCACGATGAACACAGCAATATCCAATATTGTCTGTGAATGGCATCATACTACACTGTACTTCGTGTACAACAACCGAGTCGATCGAATGGCGGCCTTTCTCACGAGCTAGAATGCGACGATGGCATAGTGGACGACAACGGCGCGTGCGATTTGGTTCTTTCTGGTGGTACTGCAAGAGCTGCAGAAGCTCGTCTCAATATGAAGATTCAAAACGCAAGTGTTTTTGAGTTTATCTGAAACTCAAACGACAGCGACTACCACGATCGGCACGCGGTCCAACTCAAACGACAGCGATCACCACGATCGGCGCGCGGTCCAAGGGCGTCGACCACAAACGCATCGGTGTCTTCTGGCAGCGCCTCCACAACAAACGGGACGTTCTGGAGAAGTGCCAGCGCCCGACAGAGCGCGCACTTGCCTTCATCAACACTTCCAGGCTTTCCGTAAATGGTCTCCAAGTGGAGCGTCCGGAGATGGCGGCCCGCGGCAACTAGCTCTGGAAGCACGTCGAGCATGGGAGAGAGCAGGATCAACATGCTCAGCGACGTCAAGCGCGGCAGGTCCAGCGTACCAGAGAGGACAGCTACGACCTCACGCCGCGTCAACAGATAACTGCAGATATTGAGCGTCTCGAGATGCACGCACGTCGTCGCAAGCGTCTCCATGAGCAGCTCCAACAATGAAGAGAGGTCGCAATTGCGAGCCGTCAGAGACGTCAGCGCTGGGACCGACGACAAGCCCGCGATCAATGCACTTGCGGTCAGCGTCCAACGCGGAGATCGTAAGGGACTGCAGTTGCGATAGCATCGGCCACGCGGCCGGGCATGTCGCCAGCTGGCCAAAGACGCTGCAACTGAGACGCTCGAGCTGCGTGGGCCCGACGGCGGTCGCAAGGTCCGTCAGCGTTGCGGCGTCGACGGCTCTGATGAAGCGCACATCCCAAGTCAAGCGCTTCAACGACAATGGAAGCGTGTGACCGTGGAAGCCACCGAGGCTGGGGACGTTGTCGATAGTAAGCTCTTGGAGGGTTGTGCTGGCTTGCAGCGCATCGTGGTCCATTTGGGCGGCATTGGTCCATCTGGTCGATACAAGCCAATCGGAGCTTCGTCGTTGGCGCCGTCGAGAGAATTGCGGCCAAGTGATGCCCGAGTGGTGTCGCGGTCGCGAGCAGGAGGTCGATAGATAAGTCGTGAACATGCGGGTGGGCGACGACAGCGAGCAGATCATTGAGCTCGACGGCATCGCTCTGCGAATATGAAAGGACTGAGATAGCGGCGTGGCGCAGACGTGGGCAGCGCTGCAAGAGGAGACTGGAGATCGCTTGGCCTCGGCCTTGGACCATGCCGCCGCGGCGGAAACAGAGAATGACGCTGCTGAGCGCAGGTCCGACGGCGGCAACGAGCGGGGAGTGGCAATACGTCCCGGACATCATACTGGAGTTCGATACGTGGACGCAGCGGCAGCGTCGCCGCAAGAAGCGCCAAGAGCAAAGGTGGCAAGGCCGTGTCGCGCAGCTCGATGCGCGGCCAGTTGGCGCTGACCGATGATGGCATGGCCGTGGTGCAGACGAGAAAGGCCGCGACCGCCGGCGTCTAGAGCGATCGTGGCACCGCGTGGAGGAAGCTGCTAAAGTCGTCCTGGTTGTCCAAGCATATCGCAATGGCCTCAACGACGTGCGGAAGCGCGAGCGCATCTCCTGGCGTCGGACGACCCGCCTTGACAAGGTCTAGGACTGCACTGCTGACGCCGGATTGGCTTTTGGCCTCTCCACGGTCCAGATCGGTTCGGAACCGGGTCTAAAAATGGCGCCAAAACCGTGTGACACGCGACCTCCAGCGCACGGCATGGGTGGCATGTGGTTGCGCCACCTGACGCACCTCGAACTCCCGTTCCTGCTGCCCTCGGAAATGAGCCTCATGGTCCAAGCGCTCGTCGAGAGCCCACTGGTGTCGCTGCACATGCGTGGCTGGGATGTGACGAGATACACGGCAGGCCATCCGGGTGCGCCGCACTTTCTCGAATATGATCTCCCGCGCCTCGACCAGCTCACGACCTTGCGCTTGACCAACGTCCGTCTCACGACGACCCACTGCCTCACGCTCGCGCTTCTTGTACCACGCTACAATCATCTCGGTCTCACGTCCAACAGGATGGGCGACGCTGGTGTGCTTGCGCTCGCACGTCCTTCGTACACGCGTCGCACGCTCAAGACACTCACGCTGGTCAACCAAGGCTTTGGCGACGTTGGCGCGTCGGCGCTCGCAACTGCTCTGGTGCACACACCGCGCCTTCGCACGCTGGACCTCGGCCGCAACGATATCAAAATCAGTGGTATCATGGCGCTGAGTGGTCTCTTGCCACATCTCCCGCGGCTCGCGACCTGGCGCTTGTGCAACAACCCGCTGGGCGCCAAGGGCCTTGTGTTTCTTCTGCGAGCGTGGACGTACGTAGAGCTCGACACGACGACGTCTCGACTTTGACCGCTTTCTGCAGGCGGTGCCACGGTCGCTCTGGACGCCAGCAGTTGTGGCCTTTCGGGATGTGAGCACCGCGCCGTCTCTCGGCGCGGACTGGCCGGACATTGTGTTGAACGACATACAGTTGCCGCCTTCGATCATGGCGCTGCTGGCGGCGACGCTGCCGCTGCGTCCACGCATTCAACTCCGGTGTCCGATCCGACAGGCCGCGCCACTGGCCTCGCTCGTCGCCGCCGCCGGTCCATCGCTCAGCAACGTCGACATCGATTTCAACAAAGACGCCATGTTCAAGGCCGAGGCCAAGCGATGAGCAACCTCCTCGTGCAGCGCTGCCCACGTCTGCGCCACGTGGCTATCTCGGTCGTATCCCTCTCGTCCAACGTGATTGTCGAGCTCAACGATCTGCTTGCAGTCATCACCCACCCACATGTCGAGGATTTGAGCGTCAACGTGCTGCGCTTGGGCGCGACGCCTCGACTCGGGCATCTCTTGGCCGCATGGCTCTCGACGGCGCCGGCGACGAAGCTCCGATAGACTTATGTCGCCCAGATGGACCACGATGCTGTCATCGCGTTCTGCGAAGCGCTCCAAGCCAGCACGACCCTTCAAGAGCTCACCATCAGCGACGTCCCGAGCTTCGGTGGCTTCCACGGCCGCACGCTTCCAGTGTCGTTGAAGCGCTTCGAGTGGAATATGGGCGACGACGAGGTTGTCGACGATGCAACGCTGACGGACCTCGCGACCGCCGTCGGGCCCACGCAGCTCCAGCATCTTCTCTGCAACGGCTTTGGTTCGCTGGCGACACGTCCGGCCGCGGCGCCGATGCTATCGCAACTGCAGTCCCTCGTCGTCTATCAAATCGACCCGGACACCATGGAGGCATTGATCGCGGGCGTGGCATCGGTCCCGGCGCTGACGTCTCTTGAGCTTGCCATGAACGACGAGAGTTCGACACGCACTATCGAGCATCTCATGGCGTCGCTGGCGACGACGTGCGTGCATCTGCAGACATTGCACATCAGCGCGGACGCGTTGACCCGAGAGCGCCTCGTGCTCGTCCTTTCTGGCGTGCTCGAATTGCCGCAGTTGACGTCGCTACATGTGTCGGTGTGCCTCTTCGAAGTGGTGCATGTGCTGCCCGAGCTCGTGGCCGCAGGTCGCCAACTCACTAGCCTTTGCTTCGAAAAACTCTTCATCGAGCGCGAGGACTTGAACAACGTCCGCAAGAGCTGCCGCTCGTTTTGCGGGCGCTGGCACGCGTTCCTGATGTCCCGTTCGTCCTCCAGAAACCTTCGCGCGTCGATGCGTTCGTGGGTAACGCGCTGGCCCCGCGCTCGGATCCTCAGCACCAGTGCCGCTTGGATACCGGCATCTATCGGTAAGCACTACAAACATACGATCACGGTTGGGATTTGTATCCTGGCACGCCACTGCGAAGTCTGGATAGTGGTGCAACGATCGTAGGTGTACCCTGGATTATCCAGTATAGGCGTTTCCCTAATAAACACTTTACATGTTGCTCCTTACGACACAAGCCTCTGCCTCGTGTGCCTGCATCGGACTCTAGCGGTTCCGACAATAGCTGCTGCTATATTTCATTTTATTTTGGCTCGAGTGACCACGACATCAAAATCCTGGGGAACGACCCGCGTCGGAGCCAGCCACTGTGATAATCGGAGTGTTGGCTTCAATCAAATTGTCTCCTTGCTTCAGTCTCAAAAGGAGTACTGAGCCTTTAGCCGGCTGGCGGCGACATACCCGGCAGTGGCGCCAATGCTGTCGCAACTGCGATCCCTCGGTGTCTCCCGGTTGAACGCCGACAACACGCAGACGTTGATTGCGAGCTTGCCGTCTGGCCCGGCGCTGATGTCTCTAAATCTTCGCGATCGCCGTCTCTCGGCATCGATGGAGCTGCTCATTTGACTCGCGATGGGTCTGCGGCTGTGCTGTCTGTTGTGTTACACCTACCATACTAGTGCTTGACGTCGATGAGCATGTCGATACACTGTACGTCTGCTATCTGCGCTGCACGAGCTTCCTGAGCTCGTCACTGCGGGCCGCCACCTTCGCTGCCTCATCGTGACGACCATCGGGCGGCCCAACGACGATCTGGAGAAGCGCGCGATCTGCAAGGCGCTGTCACTGGTCCGTGACCTCCCATTCGTGCATTTGTTTACCCCTGACACTATTACACTCATACAACAATTGTACTAGTATCAATTTAGGGTGCGATCGGTTCGCCGCGTACTTTCACAGCACGTACCGCAAATCCGCAAAATTTCGATTGCATGGTTTTTCGATACGTGCTTTTTGTTACACAAATTGCAATATCGCGTTTGGTTCATCAATGTACGCCGACTTTCGGACTTTTAGGACAACGCGTGGATGGTGCGCGAGCGTGGGTCCTCGATGCGATGAGTGGCGTCGTTCAACGAAAGCGCTTGCGACGTCTATCGATGGCACCTACCTTCTATGCGCTCCTCCTCCTCCCACGTCTCGTGTCGTCATCGCTAGCGGCTGCTTGGGGGCGCGATGCAATACCCGACGCCCGACGTTGGCGATCGCGTCTGCTATGTCGATTAGCAAGGAACACGAGTGTACTCTGCGTGTGCAGCTAAAGCATTCAAATCGCATCCAGCGCGCTCCCTGGTCCTTCCAGGCGTGTCTACGTGGCGCGCTGCGGCCATGTCGATGCTGGAAATCAAATCAAAGGACCCAAAATACACTTTTTCGATCGAGGGCTAGACTAAATACGCCGTTGGTTTTTGTTGGTTTGTGTCGGCTTGCCGACCGAGGCGTTTTTTGGAAGTCCATGCGTTGGCGACCAAGTACTCCAAGGTCCGCGGATTTGAACCGAATGCACCGCGTCACATTTTGTGTTTCAAGTTACGTGGATGTCATAGTACCGGTACGTGAAAGGCTTCGGGCGAACCGAACGCACTCTTCTTGGGCATTGCTGGACACCGAGGAGAGCGGGTCGCGTTTGCTCGCATTGGATTGGCTGTTTGGTACCGATTTTCTGCCAATCCGATACCGTATCCGGATATGTGACTACCGCGCAACCCAAAATATGGCCGACAACAAACGCCAGACCAGGGTGGCTCGTCCGACGCCGCCTGATGCGCTCGCGCTTCCGCACGTCGTCGAGGCCATTGCGACGTGCTTACGCGACCAAGCGGACTTTAGCAGCTATCTGCACGCGGTGCCACGCTCGCTCTGGACGCCGGCGCTCACGGCCTTTCTCGCCTGCAACACGACACCGCCGCAACGGTCAGCACCAACTGGCCGCGCATCGAGCTGCGTAGCATGGCGTTGCCGCCTTCGGTATTGGTGCTGCTTGCGGCGACGCTGCCGCTGCGTCCACGCATCGAACTCGAGTTTGTGACCCGCGACGCAGCGCGACTGGCCTCGCTCGTCGCCGTCCTCGGCCCATCGCTCAGCAGCGTCACTATCCATTTGAGCAGCAACGGTGTGGCGAATGGCCGAGGCCGAGCGATGAGCGACCTCCTCTTGCAGGGCTGCCCACATCTGCGTAGAGTGATCATATCCGTCGTGCCCCGCCGGGCGAACCAACTGGTCGAGCTCAACGATGCGCTCGGTGTCGTCGCCCACCCGCATGTCGAAATGTTGCGCATCAACCTGCAGCACGCGACCGCCACGCCGCAACTCGGGCACCTCTTGGCCGCATGGCTCTCGACCGCACCGAGCCAAAGCCTCCGATAGACTTATGTCGCCCAGATGGACCACGATGCTGTCATCGCGTTCTGCGAAGCGCTCCAAGCCAGCACGACGCTGCGAGATGTTGTCAGCAACGTTCCCAGCCTCGGTGGCTTCCACGGTCGCACGCTCCCAGTGTCGTTGATTATCTTGGATTGGGAGAGCCGCGCCAACGAGATAGTCGACGACGCAACGCTGACGGACCTTGCGACCGCCGTCGGCCGCACGCAGCTCAAGTACCTTGTCTGCAATGCCTTTGGCCAGCTGGCGACATTTCCGGCAGCAGCGCCAATGCTCGCACAATTGCAGTGGCTTATCGTCTCCGGGTTGCACGCCAACGACATGAAGGCATTGATCGACGGCTTGTCGTCGGTCCCATCGCTGACGTCTCTGTCGCTTCACAAGTGCAGTCTCTCGTCGTCGATGGAGCTGCTCAGGGAGACGCTTGCGACGACGTGCGTGCATCTCGCCAAGCTCACAGTCCGCGATCAGCATCCGACTCGCGACGGATGAGTTTCTAAACTCAAAAACGTTTGTACTAGTATTTTGAATCGCATTTGAGACGTGGTGGTCTATGGGGCATCTACTGCCACAATTGGTCATGAAAAGGGCAGAATATCTGTCGCGGGACCAACAGAGCGGCCGTCAACGCTGCGAAATCGGCATCGAGACAACCGCCTTGATCGAGCGCACACCCGCAGAGGAGTGTGTCCGAGAGGCAAGCATTGGAAAAGTGAGGCCACGAGGGCTGCTCACGACCTGCGTTCCCTTGGTCTAAAACTATCTCGTGGTCAACTAGCGGATCGAGTTGCGTTGACGAACGCTAGGAGCGTGGTTCTGTCCGAGAGATGAACAAGAGACTTCAAAAAGCCATCTCAATAGACCTAAAAGAAGCGATCCAAGTCCGAGCCGGCCACCACAGATATATGGCAAGAGCTGGTTTCATCGTGCAGATTGCACAAATGACAACGAGTCTTTTTTCCTCATGCTAGTCACTGCCTGACACCAAAAGTACATAAATCCAATATTGGATTTATGTACTCCTGCTGACACACACCGCCGTCCTTGACGCCGTCGCTTTGAAAGATTTAAGATTCTTGCTTGCCCTGGATTGGCTGCTAGGAGAGTCGCGTGCGGTTGGCTATACTACAAGGTTGTCCATCTTGGCTCGTCGCTGCTACGCATCCAACGACTAACGGTTTTGTGTGTCCATCTCCCACAGCAATACCATCGCGAGCGTCCATCCAAGTCAAGTGACTTTGCCGTTTGGAAAGTACACATCATAACCGGTTGCGCTTTTGTAACCGGATGATATCTGGTCGGCAGCTGGCCATTTTTTGACACGCAAGTGCGTCGGCGACCAGGACGAACCCGAGCTGCCAACAAGCACGTTACTGACAACACCATGCTCCTGTCGCCCACGCTACTCGAGACCATTGCGACGTACCTGCCTTCCGAAGGCATGATGATGGCGTTTCTGGAGGCGCTACCCAAGGAGCGGCGCACGCCGGCGCTGGAGCTCCTCGCGACGCTATCGCATGCGCTAGGGCTCCAAGTCCTCTGGCCCACGCTGGACATGGTAGTGCTCGTGCGGCTTGCGAACGCCGACAGCATACTCGCCCAGCTCCTCAGCGTGAACCCGCGGCTGTGTATCGCTCCAGTGAGCGCTCGGCCCATTGTGCCAGTAGTGGTCGCCACGCCACCGCGCACGTGGCCGACGCTGCGCCATCTCTCGCTCACGATTGCGACATGGACTATGGACTTGGCTGTGCTTGCGAACGTCCAGCAAATGTTCGTAGCGAATGCAGCGTGCCTCCGATCGATCGACGTAAACATCACGGCGCTGCCCATCCCGGCGTCGGACGGGCGATACGCCACGCAGAGCACGTGTCTCGCTGCGCTCGTGAACTTGCTCGTGTCGACGCCATATGTGACCAAGGTTGCGTTGCGTGCTACGTTCAAGGTGCCCTTCCCAGAGACAGCAGCGATGGCGCTCGCACAATGGATTGACGCAATGCCGCTCACGTCCCTGACGATGAAGAACATGTACGAGCTCTCTCCAACGCAACAACTCTGGACGAAACCTACGCTCGTGTCCCTCGCACTCCCCAACACTTGGCATCGACTCGATAACGGCAGCAGCGCCATGTCGCGCCACCTGACGCACCTCGAGCTCGGTCTTTCCGGCCCGTCGCCGATGCAGGACGTTGTCGGCATGCTCGTCCAGAGCCCGCTGCAGTCACTGCACTTGTGTCTGTCCAACGTGGCAAGAGACTTTGACATGGCATCGACGCAGCTCTTTCTCGAAGACGACCTGCCGCGCCTCGACCAGCTCACGACCTTGCGCTTGACCAACGTCCGTCTCACGACGACCCACTGCCTCACGCTTGCGCTTCTTTTACCGCGCTACAATCATCTCGGTCTTACGTCCAACAGGATGGGCGACGCTGGTGTGCTTGCGCTCGCACCGTTCCTTCGACACTCGTCGCAGCTCAAGACTCTTACGCTGGTCGACCAAGGCTTTGGCGACGTTGGCGCGTCGGCGCTCGCAACTGCTCTGGTGCACACACCGCGGCTTCGCACGCTGGACCTCGGCCGCAACGATATCACGGCGAGCGGTGCCATGTCGCTGAGCTGCCTCTTTCCGAATCTCCCACGGCTGGCGACCTGGCGCTTGTGCAATAACCCGCTGGGCGCCAAGGGCCTTGTGTTTCTTCTGCGAGCGTGGACGTACGTAAAGTTTCCCACCGCAACATTGCTTGACGCTCGCGGCTCGATTGACTGTGACGATGACCGAAGGGACTGCGACGCGCTCCTCTCGGACCTGCCGCGTCACCGGACGTGCTGGACAGCGTTCAAGCCACCGCCAGTCGAGACGACCGAGACCGATTTCGTCGATTTAGACGTCGATGCGCCGCTTGGGCCTATGCTGCAGTCCTTGGCAACGGCGCTTGCTGCGGCGGCCGGCTTGTCGGTGCGATGTCACGCGTAATTAGCACATGGCTCTAGTATATAATTATATAATGCACCCGAGGTCGTTCAGCCGCTTGCCTCATGGCCACTGCAGTAGAATCCGGCCATCGCTACATTCAAGATAGCGCTGCGTAGAACACGTACACTAATTGTATGGCGGCGATATAATAACACCATAAACAATGACCACAATGTGAACGCTATTGTCTGTAACATGCATGACAACAACAAGCGTGACTATATCCGGCTACCCGACACTATCTTACCCAAGTACGCCGACTTCGTCTACCAAGTGATGCTCCGCGCGGTCAAGTTCCGCGCACATTTGCACTGGCTCGACAGGGCCGACCAAGCGTGCCTCTTCTGCCCCGCGCACGAGACGTACCGCCACTTCCTCGTAGACTGCGACTTCATCAAGGACGTGTGGAGCACGCTTCACGCCGTCACGGTCCCTTTTGGCGTGACCTTGCCGACTACGCTCTCCGGCTACCTCTACGCGACGCCCAAGACGGCGTCCAACATGCACCAAGCCGCGTTCCGCTACCTCTGGCCCGTGCTCCGCGCCTGCGTCTGGTTCAACGTCTGGCGAGTCCGGAACGATCGCGTCTTTCGCGCCGACCTACCGCTGCCAAGTCCATGGACGATTGCCGTCAAGGCGGCACGCGTCGCTCAACTGCACTTGCACCACAGCCTCGTACAAGAGCCCGAGCAGCCTGCTCTTCGTCGGCTTCTCCGGCTCCTCGCCCAACACGAGTGGCCGCGACGTCACCTCGTCCCGCGGATTGCGCTCCTGCCTCCGCCTACCTAAATCAAGTCCCTCAACCGAGTACACACAAC